TCGGTCATCCAGTGAGATTCCCAGCCAGTCCTTCATGGAGTAATATTCCAGACAACCATGAAAGATATGTGGATTAAAGTCTGGATGGTGAAAGCAAAGCTTGAAGTTGCACATGTCCAAACAGAGCAGTGATTTGTGTCCCTCAGAGCAGTTTTGCCAGGTAAATAAATACATCTTTAGGTTGCCCTCTGCCTCTTTGTAGAGCTGGAGAGTTTGGAGCTGGTTGCAGATTCCTGGGGAGGAGGAAGCACTCCACAAGTTCTGCTCATCAGGCACAACTGAATTATTTTACCTAGAGAAAGGTAACCAGCAAAGCTCTTGAAACCAGTGACTCTGCCTGGCTGCAGTGGGCTGGGCTCCTCCTGTGCATCCTGGCATCCCAGCTGCTCCTGTGTGCTGATACACTCAGAGTTTGGTCAGTGAGGAGACATGCCTTCTGTAAAACCTGGATTTGCACGTCCATGTTGGCATCCTGGATGCTGAGAATTTTAAAATTTCTCTGCTGAAGTGCACAGACCCACAAGAAAATGCTATATCTGACCATGGAGAAGGCTTCCAAACTTGATTGATAGCACTGGGATTATGGTTTGATTAGAAATGTGTAATATCACAGGGTGGAAAACTTAGAATTTAAGGTTTTAGAATATAGCAATATATGTGGGAGGTTTTAGGCTGGTGGCTGGTTGTTCTTCACCTTTTTCATGGGTTTGGGTAGTATTTTGTATTTGGACAGAAAAGTCTGCATTGCGGGCTTAAAGGGATTAGTTACTGGGTTAAAAGTGCAAATAATTTAGGTGTCATTTCTTAATTGGATAGTTTAGCCTAAAAGACCTTGTATAGGAAGATAGTTAGCCATGTTGTAGCTTGTTAGTAGAATGCTGCAGAACTCAAGATTCTCCTGACTCTGCATTGTGCAGCTGCCGTGACCTTGGGCTGCTCTCACCTGCCCTGCAAAGTGTGCTAAGCTCATTCCCAGAGAGGTCAGGGCACGCTCCAGGGACACTTTGCTGCTGCTGCAGTGCTTCCATTGGAGTCAGGGGTTTGCAGTGACCCCTTCTGTGCTCAGCTGCTTTTCACTGGGGTAAAAATACACTGATGTAATGGTGGAATGGGTTCTGCATTTTTAAAGGAGGCGCAGACAGTAATTAATTTATACAGAGCCCCTGCACATAGAAAAGCCAGACCACTGAAATCTCATGGTGAGACAGAAATTTGATTAGGAATTCATGTGAGACCTCCTCCCTTTGTCCCAAGCTCTAATTCTGTAGTGTGGGAGGTCTTGTCAAAGTAGTCCTGAGTTCACTCTGGTAGAAAGCCTTTTGTTCATGAACAGGGGAGAGTGTGAGACCTGTTCCCATGCAGCCATACATCTTGTGTTCTTTACAGCAGCTTATTTTTGATAAGCTACAGCACATTTTAATGTAATTGTTAACATGCCTAATTTGCAGCCACACAGTCGTATCAATAATAATGGAAAGTTGTTCACAGGTAATAAATTAGCATAGCATATAACCAGCAGAACTCTGCTTCTCAGTATATTGTTTCATGATCAAGAATTCAGTAGTTAAATATACACAGCAGTGGGCTGAGAACAAGCTGTTCATTTTTGCTGCAAGCAGTACCAGTGGACCAGAGTAATCATAGTTCCCAAAAGCAGGACTGATTTTATTGATTTTAAATAGGCTTTCATTACAGCACTGAGCTTATTCCAATTGCAAGGAGTATCACTGCTGTTTGTATTCACAGTGCTGGCTGAGGGAAGGAGAGGTTTTGTTGGATGCCATGTAGAGGCTCTTTGTCCCTCAGTGTTCTATTCTGCCCCGCTGAAACATCTGAATTTATTACAGAAAAATAAGTACTTAAGGCTTTTTTTCCCTGTGGTTAAAGTTTTTTAGATACACAGAGCCAGACCCAGCTCTGAAATGTTGAATTCTGAGTATTCTGAGGAGTCAAGATCTTGCTTATTTATTGGCATTTGGCTTAGGGATCAGCTGGATTCTTCAGAAATCATGGAATCACTTTGCTTGGAAATGATGTTAAGATCACCAAGTCCAGCCATTTAACCCAATCCTGCCAGGTCCAGCCCTTAAACCCATCTCTAACACCACACCTGCACCTCTCTCCTTTTCCACAGATTAATGTAAAAAAGGCAAATTCGAGAGTCTGAGATATTAATGTATTCAGGTTATAATTAGTGAAGAACACATGCTGTTGCCAGCAATGCGTCATTAATCTGCATGGAGCAGTTTGCAGCTATTTGTTGCTAAATTAGTGACACTTCAAAGCTGTCGGGTTTTTATATTGTTTCTAATGATAAAAAAAAAAATAAATCTGTGACTAAAAATCCACATATGTACACTTAGGAAGCAGGCTGGTTTGTTATTTGGTTTTCTTTGGAGTTTTTGTGGTTTAGTTTACACAAGGCTGGTCAGTCAATGGCCATACACAGAAGTTGGTTGAAGCCTTAATATTGTTGAAAAGGTTGTACTGTACTTTATGGTGGTGTAAAGGCATGTTGTTTGTGATAGGTTTTCTTCAAGTCCTTTATGTGTGTTTATGTGCATTATTCTGCTTAAACATTTTTTTTCCTGTGTTACTAGAACAGTTTGGAAGGGTATTAATAGAAATTAGTTACACCTTTCTGGTTTGAATGAGTTTAATACTGACTTTAGGTACCTCTTCTATTTTTTTTATTGTAAACCTGCAGGTGAAGGTGAATTACTTCAAATATTCTAGCTAATCCCACATTTTTGTTTCGGTATAGTCTTTCTTAACATAATTTGGGAATTCAGGCAGGAACAAACAAAACTTTGTGTGAGCATTTCTAGAAATCAACTATTTAAATAAGATGGTGACATTAAGTAGTGAATCAACATGGTAAGTACTGCATGATCAAGCCTAGTTACTGTAAAATGAGATCTAGGTGGTTTATTTCATTTTAAAGAGTTTGGGCAAATAATGATGGAATTAAATTGCTTCCTGTTGGTTTCCTGCAGGGCATGAAGAACCTGCTGCACTGATTAGTTCTTCAGGTCTAATCTGCACGTGGCTGTGCTCACTTTCATGTCTGTTTGTTTATGGGTTTGATAGTTGTTTTTCTGAAGTTACTCCATTGCCTTGATAGTCCTCTGGTGGATTATCAAAATGTACACATTAATTCCTTTCTCTAACTTCATTTGTTGGAGCCCAGTGGAGATAATTGGTGCTCATGGAACGTGGTGGTTGGGAATGAGGGTGATGATCACTCCCAGAACTGATACCACCCATCACTGACAATCAAAGCTCACATTGTCAGGATGTTTGGAAGCTAAAGTTGATTTAATTAAATGCTTACAGCATCTATTAACAATACCATATTAAATTCTTTGCCGCAGCAGCTACTGTGATTTTTAGAGTTTGCTTGTGCAGGTTGAAAAGTGATTTATAGTTTTAATTCATCTTAATTTGTGTGCTTAGGAAACATTTGAGATAAAAATTTTTGTTGCATTTAAATTTCCTTGTTATCTGCCCTGCAGTGGCATGAGTAATAGAGAGCCCAGAACATGAATATGCATGAAATATTTTCAAGGAGAATTCTTTTAAAGTTCAGAGTGATATATGTCAAATGTTACTGAATGGATAAGCATGTGGAGAGATTTTAGTCTCAAAAACCTTAGAAATTAAGCATTTCTTAGTACACTATCTGTGTTAAACATAATTATTAATAATAATATAAATAGTAATAGTAACTACTACTACTACTGCTGTGTTAAATAGAATGCTTGTTTCATAATATTTATCCTATTCTAAGGTTTAACTTTTTTTTCTAGTTGCTGGTATTTATTATATAGGCACTTTGAAATGATGCTGTGTCAGAGCTTGCCTGCACCAAAAATTGCTGCATCTTGACACTTACATTTAATAATCTGTAAAATGTTTTAATAGCCTAGAAAGCCTGTGTGTGTGTTTGACTGAAAGTATCTGTGCCCTCTGTGCCAATTAAACTGTAAAATTGTCAATTTAACATCAAATTCTCACGTTTTCTTTATGCTTAGATAAAATATTAGTGTCCAAGGTGTGACCTAATTTAAACAATACTGAAATCCGAGATTTCCAGATTGCAAGAGAGGGTAACAATGAACTTTTTCTAGGCACACTTATTGATATGTTAATATTAGGATCTCAGACTTTGCAAAGCAGCCAGCACTATTATGATAAATGCGCAAAGTAGCAATAGTTGGTGTTAATAAACATTTTAAAGGCACCTGGGAGGGGTTAATGGTTCAGGAATTTGCTGTGATCCAGAGCTGCAGAGATGATCAGTGATTGCTTGGTTTGGTTGGGTTGGTTGTTTTCTTTCCCTTTTCCCTCTCTCTGCAAGGATGTCAGGATTGCTTTTGTTTAGAATGTGGGACATGGTGCAATTGCTTTTGTCACTGTCTTGCTGCCCTTTGGTGTTACTGAGACTGATAAACTCAAATTGCCAAAGATCCAGGTGATGCCTCACAGGCAGGTGAAATGTTTTCATTTCACAGCTCCTGCCCTTGCCTTAATTTCACTCACCTGCCCTTTGGACATTGGGATTTCTTCTTTAAGAACCACATCCATGCATTTCCTTCCACGTGTTCAGAGCAAGGAATGGAATTTATTTCCCTTGATGAGCATTCTCTTGTTGTGCATTCAAGACAAAATATGATTTGATTTATGTTTAAAAACCGTGGCAGTGTGTGAGCCACAGAGCTGGGCTGGTTGTGTGGTTTGTTGTGCAGACCATGGTTCTGATCTTCACAATGCCTTATTTATCCATCTGGTAAGCTGTGTATCCCTTAACTTCCTTGAGCAATTCTTTTTTGACAAGGTTGCTTTATGGAAGTGATGACTTTACTCTTGTTTTATTGCTCACTAGTTATACACAACTTCTTGTTGGTTTAAGAGTCCAATCTGGAAATGCTTTTTGATCTCATACTAACAAGCTCAATAACTGACAAACCACAGAATTGCAATGTGTTTTTCTTTTACAGAGGCAAAGGAAATTGTTCTGAAGGCACAGATTCTAGCTGGAGGGAGAGGGAAAGGTATTTTCAATAGTGGATTGAAAGGAGGAGTTCATCTAACTAAAGAGTAAGTACTTCTGATTGAAAAAACTAGAAATAAATTGCTCCTTGTGTAATATTTAGGCTGTTTACAATAGCTATGGACTGTTTCTTTTAGTATTTTTCAGTAAACTAACATTTTTCTCTTGTTTGTAGCCCTAAGACTGTTGAACAGCTTGCTAAACAGATGATTGGGTACAATCTGTCAACCAAGCAAACTCCAAAGGATGGTGTGACAGTTAAAAAGGTAAGAATTTGCCTTCTTGAAAGTTGAAAACAATGTTCAGCTGCAATTTTGCATTAATAAGCTGGGATGTACAACATAGATTTTTTTTCAATCCTTCTCCAATTCCCGATTGAGTACATCAAATTGATTAAAAAAAAAAAAAGAAAATGTTACTTCTTCAGTTTGTGTATATATTTTGTTCATCAATTTTGGCATACCCGCCGATGAAAAAATAAATTGATTCCTCAATATATATTGAAAGGAATCCTTTGTCATAGGCTTTTCTTCCATCAAACACGTACTAAATAGTGATACAACTGCACTCTAGCATTAGCTGTACATGCTTATTGACATTCTGCTTACAGAATGGTTCCCTCTAGTAATAATATTATCTGTACTTCAGTCACCCTCAGGTTTGGACAAGTCTTAACAGAGTGACAGATGAATCACAGAATGCTTTGAGTTGAAAGGAGTCTTTAAAATTCCTTCAGTCCAACCCCCTGCAATGAGCAGGGGCATCTTCAACCACACCAGGCTGTTCAGAGCTCCATCCAACCTGGCCTTGAATCTTTCCAGGGATGGGGCATCCACCACTGCTCTGGCCAAGGTGTGCCAGTGCCTCACCACCCTCATTGTAAAAAAAATTCTTTCTTATATGTAATTAAAATCTGTCTTCTTTAGTTTAGAACCACCTTGACTTATTGCAACAGGCCTATTGAAAAGTTTGTCCCCATCTTTATTGTATGCCCCCTTTAAGTATTGAAAGGTTTGCATGAGATTTTTTTCTCAATTGAAAAAAAGTGTCTCAACAGAAGATTCTTTCTACTTGTGGCAGATACAGCCTAAAATACGTTTTCATGGTAGTGGTTGAGGTACCAGATGAACATGGGAGTTCATTTTCCAATGATGGTGCTTTTTGCAAGGCATCAAGATTTATTTCAGCATCAATTATTTGCTCTGTGAACAAATGAGAGAAGCAAAGATTCAGCAAGATTCTCCTTCAATTTAGTAAAATTCTGCGAGTCAGGAAATCCTGGCAATTGCCTATCTGCTGTATCTGCTTTTATCTCTTTCTTTGTTTTACTGAGCAAGAATCCTCATACAGGTAAGTAGTCAAGAGCCACACTCTTTGTGATGCCAGGAAATAATTTGGCATCAGCTGAAGGAGCTGCAGTTCACATTTAATATCCTGTGAACAGCTTGGTGTATTAGCATAGAAGGGGAAGGAACACCTGTCTGGAAAGATCCTGTCTAATGAGGGTGGAGGAAGGTGTTCAGGCAGTTCTTCTCTTGGGGAGCAAGGAGAGCAGATTACCATCACTCCTCAGAGCTGTTCTTAAGAGGAAATACTATATATTAAAATAGGAGACTCAGTGTTACCATTAAGGCATGTCTGTCAGAGATCCTGATAATACTGAGGATATAAGACAGGATATACCTTTTCCATATTAAGCATAATATTCCATTTTCTGAAGCACTCTGCTTGGGAAAATTAGTATTGTAAAAGCAGATTTCCTTCATAAGTTCTTTGTTTTTATTCTTTTGCCCTAGTTGGCCTGCCTCGAATACATCCATACAGAAATTCTACTTTTTTTGTCAGAGTGCAAGCCTGTTCATCTTAGACAGATTCAGTTCTGAAACAGAAACTTCTAATTTTCTTTGAAATTTATAGAAGTGAAAGAAGAGTATGGGTGTTGGGGTTTTTTTGACATGGAATCATATTAGGATGACTTTTGTGCCATATAGCCATAGAATATTTAACTTGTGGCTCCTTTCTCCCCCTCCACATGTTGTTTGTGTGAATGAACAGTGGGCAGGACTAAGCAGCTGGGGCAGAGGTGAAGTTTAAGGTGAAGTTTGCACTACTGAATTTCAGATATTTATTTTGGTGGTACAGGATTGTGCACAGCCTCGAAACTGGCTGGGTATTTTTCCTTTGCTATAGAGTTACAGGGAAACTGATATTTTAATGCTGATCCATGATAAACCGCCGTGATGCTTTTCACTGGGAGAAACTGATAATTTGCAAAATTATAGGAAATCATAAACTTTCATCCTGATTACAGAGTTGGCTTTTAAAAGTATGTTGGCTTTTAATTAGTATGTTTTATATTTTTTGATATTAAGTTCTTGATTCTTAGTAATTAATGGTGAGAGCATATACCCTCCTTAAATTAATTCATTTTGTAGCAGTTTGCCCAATGTTATGCTTATTAGAAAGTGAAGGAAGCATGTTTAAAATTATGCACTACTTCATCAAAAAACTATTTCCCAGCAGAATTATGGCTGTTTTTAAAGAATTTCTCATTTACAAAGTTAACTCACGTTGGAATTTTAAAGGTAGTTAAAGGAGCTGAGGCACTCAGGCTTGTGGTGTCAGGACTGAAAAAAAATCAAATACTGACATTTTAATCAAGGGGCAAACTACAGTGATATTATTAAATGTATAAATTTAGCTAAGTATGAGATATCATTTAATGCAGTGGGAATTTAATGCACTGAAAATGCCAGGCAGAATCTCTGGGCTTGCTAAGGGCAATGGGGAAAGTGAGAACAAATCACTGGCATTTTTTTTTCTATTTCAAGGCACATGCTTTCTCTCTGCATGTATGGGAGAGTTTGTGTTCTACATGTACTTAAGGAAGATTGCATTTTAGGAAGAAAAAAAAAAGGATTTGTGCTTTTTAAACTTTTCAGTGTTCTGGAAAATTTGAGTGGTTTAAAATACTCCTATTTAAAAAAAAAAGTAATAAGCATTCTTCAGAAGGAAAGTATTTATTATGTCACTTTCTGTGAGGCAATCAATGAGCTAATGTCAAGTCAGGGAGTGGAAGTCACCTTCCATCTATTTGTAAGGAAGGTATAAAAGGTAGAAATTTTCTACAATTAGAATAATTATGAAACAGAAAATTATAGTTTCAGCTTTCTTTCTCAGCTTGTGCACCTGCTATAGAATTTAAAGTGTGCTTGTGCCTGTTCAGATTGGTGCTTCTCAAATTAATAGCATTCTCTTCAGTTCCCTCATAACTTGGAACCTGTTTTGTGAGTTTACATAAAATCCTCTCATGGCATTTGGAATTTGGAGAGCCTGGCTATCTGTGATGACAGTCTTCTCTTATCATGACAACCTGAGAAATCACTACCTATGTTTTTTTCTCTCCAAGCAATAAAAGAATGAACATTTTGCATATTTGATTCTGTTTAAGAAAAGCTGTTACAGTTACCCTCATGACATTCGATGTGTGACTTAAACTTTTAGGTAACAATTTGTTACAGAAAAAGAAAGCTTGAAGTTGTCAAGAAGTTTTAATGAAAACTGATTTTTCCCCAGGACATTTTAAATATAAATATGATATGGTAAACAGATAATATGTCATATTCTTTATCAAAAGCAAAACAGAAATGTGAGAAGAGTCAACAGTCTGTAGATTCAATTTCACTATTCTTAACTGTTCATCAGTGTGTTTGCATTAGTTCTGTCATGTGAGTGATAGGTAGACTTAAATGATATTTAAAGGCCTGGAACACCAATTTCCCTGGCTTTGCTCTGTATCAAACGGGGAGGGTGGTGAAGGAAAGTTATTTTGTAGGGAGAAATTAGAGATATTTCACAATCTGTCAATTTTTGCTCTGAGGTTGCCAACTGCAAAGTAAACTCTAAGTAGTTTTGTGAATTAAGACAGAGAAGTATCTGATGATGTTGACATTGTTAATTAGCAATAGTGAGGACAATCACTCCAGCTGGAAGTCTCAGTTAAAGATACCTGATTTAATAATGTTAGTTCCACCTGCTGTGCCTGCAAATGTATTCCTCAAAACCTGTTGAGTGTATTCCCATCCTAAGTCTGGCCCTGGCCCTGATCTCTAGGGAAGCTGTCTGAACAGCCCTGACCAGATCCAGTAGGACCTGTTGGTTTTATCTGAATTATGTCTAAAGCAACTGACTCACATTTTTCAGATACATTGATGAAGAAGGTGAAAACATGGATGCAGGTAAAAATAGTAGCGAATTCAGGATGCTTTCCCTACCCTTGCTTGTTAATTTGACAAATCTTGTCAGGTAGCCAAGCTATGTCTCTGAAGTTGTCTTTTAGATCCCTCTGTAGTAGACTAAAATAGGCAGATGCTTTTAAGTAGTACAGTAGTTTTCTGCATTCCTGGTTCTCTCCTTCACCCTGCTTCCTTTAATTTCCTCTTGAGCAGTCTCTTATTTGAACTATTCCTTTACATCCCCCTATGTTGTGTGAATAAAGTGAGGTAAAAGTAGAAGGAAACAAAATTACTATAAAGCAAATTCCTTCCAAGTCAAAAAGACCCTAAAGAAATTTCATCTTTCCTTCAATTCTGAGCACTGATGGCTTTATTTTATTCCTTGTTTCTTATATTTTTCCCCCCTCTTCTCTAATACCTACTGCCTGGCTGGAAGTCCCTACATCCTTCTTTATGTACTCTGGAATAAACTGTCAAAAATGTGACTTGGGTGAAAGTATAGTGCATCTTTCTTGTTTATAGTCCTTGAACTATGAAAACCCCAGGAATATTTGTAGGATGGAGCACCTGGTGCCAGGTAGGCAGAGTTTCAAGGCTGCAGGTAAAAAATGCCTCTTGGATCTGCTGAATGAGAGAATGAATTTCTCCTTGTGGTATATTCAGTGATGATCATTGTCTGCAGTCATTGTTCAAAAATGTCACTTCAGAAAAAGACTGTGTTAGAAAGACGTTGCCACTTAATCCTGCTTAATTATATTGATATTTTGGAAGTGATATTCCTGATTTCTACTACTTCCCTTGAAAGATGGGAAATAGTAGCTCTCCTAAGGAAGAATGTAATGCTTGTTAAATTACAGAGGTGGCTGCTTCACTTTCAGATTGAAAAGCAAAACTGCAGTGCAGAGCAGAACCACAGTCTTTGCAACTTTGATTATGACATCTGTTATGATCAGAGGCAACAATTATTAATGATCATGTGCAGAATTTTTTCCAAAAATTAAGAATGCTTTAGAAAATTTACTATTCTTATAACAAAACAATTTTGTGAGTCATTTGCAAATGTCAAACTACTCAGTCTCTGAATTTGCTTTGATAGCTGCTGTTAAACTACTGCAAAAAGAGACAGTTTAGGTAAGGAGGAAGGTACAGCTATTGTAATACTAAAGTGGAAAGGACCTTGTCTTGTTTTGGAAGAGGGAAAAATTGTAGCAAAGACTTTATATGGGCCAATTTCTGACACTTTTAATGTGGTGCTTGTACATTCCAAACGTGGGATTTGAATCATCTTTCTGTTTTGTGCTGTGGTGTCTGTCAGATACTGGTACAAAACAGCTCTGTAGCTTATAGTAATAAATTGAAAAGCACATATCTGTGTTTCTAGATTGTGCCAGTATTTGAAGGACACACATCTGCTCGACTCTCTAAATTGAAACTAAAAAGCTGGATGGCAGAATTACCTGCAAACCCATTTTTTAGGAGATACTTGGGCAGGACAGGAATTCAGTGCAGAGATTATAAGGGTTGGGTGGCCTTTGGTCAGAATAAGGGAGAGAAATTAAGCCTGAGGAGCAGCAGTGCTGGTGAGATGCATCCAAAAACCAACGTGCCAGTTCTTCTGTCTCTGTCCTTTGGGGCTCAAGTCTTTCTGGGAACAAGAATTACTGTCCTAATAATCAAGAATTATCCCAAAATATTGGGATAAAAAGGCAATATAGAGGTCTGCAGCAGGAAAAACCCCAGCACTGAGGTGTTCCTGGCTTACATTGCTCACTGCAGGCCCTGGTGAGAAGAGCAGCATTAGAGGAGGCTCTTACTTAAGGAGAGAGCATTCCTTGGGAAAAAGGTCACAGGGTTCTAGTAGTGTGGTAAAAGCAGTGAAACCAATGTTTCTTTTCAGGATAGCAAGTATCAAACTGCTCCTTTTTAAGGCAAAGCAGGACTGGTCAGAACAACTGATGCTTTCTTTCCTTGCCTCTATCCATTTTTAGGTGATGGTTGCAGAAGCACTGGATATTTCCAGAGAAACATATTTTGCAATTCTGATGGACCGAGCCTGCAATGGACCCATCATGGTTGGCAGTCCACAGGGTGGTGTGGACATAGAAGAAGTTGCAGTAACTAGCCCAGAACTTATCTTTAAGGTATTGGAAAAATGTTCTACAATAAAAATTTTCCTTGTCAGTTATCCAAAATAATATTTTCCCCCTATCTCCTCCCATTTTTTCTTCTCCCATGTTAAAAGTAGACAGGAAGAACCATAAAAATAGTGTTTCATCAAATACAGGATCATACCTATCATCTAGTAAATGAAGCATATTTAACATCCGATTTTACTAGAATTTTTCAATTAGAAAAAGATCTTAAATCTGACTGTTATGTGATATGTTAAACTTCATATCTGAAATGTTTTATGAGTGAGTTTCACTTTCAGGAAGGTACACCGCTTTTTCACAGGTGGACTGGTGCCAATATACTTATTGTTTCTGTGGCTGTTTTCTCTAATTGGCAGAGTTGTTAATTATTTTTTTGTACCTGCAAGACTTTTGCATCTGAAATGCAACTGTTGTAATTACTTTCTTAATGATGACTACACTGAAGTATTTTTTAAGTTACTGTGGCAAGATAATGAGTAGACAAGCTATTCAGCTGAGAAAATAATTGATACAATCAAGTATAATTATTCAAAAAATTGTAAAAATATTTAATGTGCACTTAAAAATCATATAAACTTCACAGTGTCACTGGGCAGTGACACTCATTGCCTTGAAAATATTCCAGAATATGTCATAAAAATTTACAGACTAAATATTCGTCAATGCCATCTGTACAGTAATTAAAAGTGAAAACTGGTGTCACATTGTCTTGTCAGTGTGCCACCCTGAAGAATTACGTATTTTTTGGAAGGACTGTTTCATAGGCAGTGTGGTAATTATAACATCCCCTATAGGCAGCTGCTGTGGCCTCAGTCTCGGGGAGCCTTGGCAAACAGCCAGGCTTTAATTACTAATTTGCACATGTACACTAAGTGTTCTCCTTTTGAAGCTATAAACCTCCATTCTGATGGAATATTTAGTTATATTTACACATGTTACTGTTGCAGGAGGAAATAGATATTTTTGAAGGCATAAAGGATCATCAGGCATTGCAGATGGCAAAAAATTTGGGATTCCAAGGACCTTTGCAGCAGCAGGTAACTTGACTCCACTCCCTGACTTTTTAGCCCAGCTCTGTGTTAAATGTTTTCCAAGAGGAAAGGCCACTTGGAAAGGCCAAGTGTCCATTAAATCGGGATCATTTTGACATTCTAAATACTAAATTGCACTATGTAATTGTCATTAGGATTTAGCACTTTGAATAAGCTCCTTCTAGTTTTAAAGTGAGAGTTCCTTTTCTTTGAAGCAATTGATGGCAACATGCTGTTCCACCATGTGGGATTCCTTTGTGTTCACTGGAATTCTACTGAAGCTCTGTGAATGGCATGGGTAGAACTGGTTTTGAAAATTGGCTCTTAAGAGATAAGAAACAAAAGTGTATCTGGCTTTGTGATTGAAACTTTAAAAAAAATTTTTATTCTTCAATTCAAAAACAAAAGGCTGCCAGCATGTTGTATTTTCAGTATCTCTTTTCTGTACATATATATTTTGAATATATATATTTGCCCATTTGTATAATTTTGGACAGAAGAGAGCTCATTTAAGCTGGCCTGTTTTTTTTTCTGTAGTATGAAACTCATTTTTGTAGAACTCCTTTATTTTTAATTCAGCAATTGTAATTCTTTTCTATCCTAACATGCAATTAACAAATGCATAATGATTAAGTTGATTAACACACATTTGAAGATTTAGCTGTATATATAATGAGGAGGAATGATTATGTAGAACCTTTCAACCCTTGAAGAGTTCTGGTACTTAATAATTAACAGCAAATATGTATGGACTTTTAAACAACACATTTTAATAATGCTGCAGGAGTGCATTTCTTCCCTCATGCAATCAACTAAAAGGAATTTACTGAAGCACAGGGACATAGTTTTTATCCAGACAAATCCTGGCATTTACTTATACATTCTTTAGTTCTAGGCTGGGATTTTCTGCTTGAAGAGGCTCAGTTCTTCCAGACCCTGAGAAAGGGAAGCGTTGACATTAAGCTGCCTGATTCAGAGAGGTGCTGAAAGATGGAGCAGCCCTTAATAAAAGTGAAGTGATTCTGGTGTTCTGGTGCAGTTCCAGCAGAGGACTGTGCCAACAGCAGCTTTCCAGGTGGCCCAGAGTCAATGGGGGGCTCGTGGTGGGGCTGCCTCCCCCTGTGCTCTTTTGGGGTGGGTTGTCAGCCTGAGGGTTTGTGCCAAGGAAGCTGCTGCACATTTATAATTTATGGGTTTTTTTTTTAAAGTCAAACCCACTGAGAATGCTTTAACTGATAACTCTTGAGGAGGGCAGGCTTCCTAAGGAATTTGTGCTGCCTCCCAACTATGACTCTTTACAGGATCTTATCACAGAATCACAGAGCAGTTTAGGTTGGATGGGACCTTAAAGAACATCCAGTTTCAAGCACCCTGCCCTGATCTTCCACTAGGTCAGGTCACTCAAAGCCCCATCTAGCCTAGCCTTGACCACTTCCAGGAATGGGGACTCCACAACCTCTCTGGGCAAAATTGGGATTGGGGTTGAGTCTTTCCACTTGTAATGTTTTCTTTTGCATGACTGATCTTATAGGAGAAAGCTGACTTATACTTCTTTATTCTAATTCATTTCACTTATTAGGAGAGGTCAGAAGTATTTTTGGGTTGTGTACTTCAGTTAGCTGATCAGTAATGAGAGGGAAAAAAATGAGTGGTTCTTTATTAGTGCACTTCATCTGCAAACTTATTTCAGCTAATAGGTTCACAGTGTGTAACGAACCAAAGGGATTTTTAAATACATGTTCATGTTGCCATTTTTAAGTAGTTCTATTAGTGGAAAAATATTAAAAGAACAAAAGACTTGGAAATTAGTAGTCAGTGGTGATATTTTCAGCCACGGAATCAGGCATGGAGATAGATGGTGAGGAGTAAAAGGGAAAAGGTAGGAGTATCTTGGAATGAGTAAACAAGCATGCTTCAGATGTAAGTTCTTAAAAAAAAAAATTCAGACTGATGTAGGAAGGAGAAATAGATTTTTTTGCTGAAGTTACCAGAGTGCACAAACGACTTTGTGGTTTCTGACTTTAGACTGATTAATGTGAATGCAACTCAGATCTTGGTGTACCAGAGAACACTTCATTATGCTCGTGCCTTCAGTCACTTCCCAAATTAAACTTGTCATAGTGATTGCTCTGCCTATTTTATAGAAAACCTCCAGTTTGTGTAGTCTTGAAATGCACATTTACTACATCTCACACAGTATCATAATGCTTCATTACAACAATGTAAGAGACTATATGACTATGGTTAAGAAAACAGAAATAAAAGCAGTAATTATCTAGAATTACTGAGCAATGTAATACTTTAAAAATAATCGATAATGGTCTAACTTTGCCTTGAAAACATGAACTTTTATTTTTCTGTGTGGTAATTGTAAATCATTTGATCATATTTAGGCAGCAGATCAAATTAAGAAGCTATATAATCTTTTCTTGAAAATTGATGCCACCCAGGTTGAAGTCAATCCCTTTGGTGAAACTCCAGAAGGGCAAGGTAAGAAAATGAAGGAAACATGCATTATAATTCTTTATTTATGCAAACTATAAATTAAATTGCATAGAAGGATCTAGCGGCAGCTTTGCCTTAATTTCATTTTGTAATGTAATTTAAACAATATTCATAAATATTCCCTTGGCAGATTTTATATTACAATATCTTGTTGTTTCATCCAAATACTGGAAGTATTGGCTTCTACATGTTCTGCTTGGTGAGAGACAGCAACATTTTCTGCTCTTCTGCTCATGGACAAAGTTGGGGTTTTCTTGATTTTGTTTTGTGGGGTTTTTTTTGGTTTTTTGTTGTTGTTGTTGTTTGTTTGTATGTGTGTGTTAATGCTGATAGAATTACTGAGATTGTGTGGAAAGAAACTTTTTTTTTATGTTTGCATTCATATGGGTAATTTCAATTTTGAAGTGCATGACTCTGCAGTCTACTAGAGCACAGGAAAATTTCAGCTGGAGCAGACACTTGGGAAGAAAAAGGGTCATTGATCTTCCTGCACCATGACTACAGAGCTGAAGGGGTGTAGGGTAAAACTGAGGAGCTGAATTAGCTTTCACTTTATTATAACAGCTGGTATTCCAGCTGAAACCTTTCCTTCCTTTTGCCATTTTTGTCCAAATAGCTTGGACAAAGGTGAAGAGGGGAGGAATTAAAGGTGCCTGTGGGATATTGAAATATGGTAGGGCTGACCAGGGGGAATCACAGTTACCTCCTCATTGTTCCATTTCACTGAGGTGCTGAAGGCTCATTTGGTGGCTACAAGAGGAGAAACTGGTGTGCAAGAAGAGACACATGAGGGAAAGGACAAAAATTAATGAGCAGAAATAAAATGTGGCCCTTAAAGATCGGAAAGCGCCATGGTGGGACTCACCTTCCATCCTTGCTGGAGTTCTGCGAGGTGGTTCTTGTTGCCCTGATTCTTAGGATTTTCTAAAACCTTTTGAGTTTACATTCTTGTCGAGACTTTCTCACACAACTTTCTGTAAACAATCTATTGTTTTGCATTCCTCCATAGAGGCAGAGAAACTTGATGTACTAGTAGTTTGTCCAATGTCATTGGAGAGGTGGCACATTCACCCTCCAATCCACTGTCACCTTTGGAAAAGTATAAATGCTGGAGTCAGAAAATAAACTTCCTCTTTTCCACCTTGCAATAACAGCGACTCACATCGTGCTTTCACGTGTCCTATAGCAACAGGCTCTGTGGAAATGAAGATTTGGATAAGTTACCAACTTAGCTCTCCTGGAATGGCTGTGCATGTTTAGTGAGAAGGGCTTAATCTGAGGGATGGTAGGAGATTTTGTGCTGTTTTCTCCAAGGTTTTTCCCCATGTGGTTTGCATCCAGGAAGCTGAGGAGCAGAAACAGAGTGGGTTTCAAGCTGTGAAAGTCTTCTTGCTCACAGGAATGCACAGGAGGCTTCCTGTGCTTATTCCTTTTTTGCTAGCAGTTTCTCCATCTGAAATGTCTTTAAAGAAGAATAAAGATAAAACAAATGGAAGAACATTTGAGTAGCTTAATGCAGTTCTTCCTAATGATAGAATATAAGTCTCTGTATGAAGCCCATGATTCTTGTCAAAGTAATGGATAAGATGGATTTACTTCTTGCTGTGTTTTGTGTTTATCACTTGTGTGGATTTCCATCAGGTTGTATGTATTTGTTTGTTTAATTTCCTAGCAAATTATTTGTTAGCACTAATGGGTCAGAAGCATGAAACTTTCCTTTTTTTTTGGTTGTTTGTTTTTGTTTTGTTTGCTCTCTGTGTAAACTGTTGAATTGGCAGATGACAAAAATCCTACACCACTAACAAAAAACAACAAAAGTAGTTCATTAATATAAGTGTTGGAGCATTCTTTGATATTTGTTTGGGAGAAAAAGCCATTTGTATAATCTATACATTTAACAATGAGCTTTTGATAGTGAAAACGGTTTGATAAATATTAATAAATTATTTTGCTTCTACTTTGTACAGCATGGCCTTTGTTAAAGATGAATGTTCTGTACAAATGAGTTTCTATTCAAGTGACATGGAGGATGTTTGTGTGTAAGGTAAACAGAGGTCTGAAACTGCAGTTGTACTCTAGCTTTGACTGGGTTTAGCAATTTAAGCACCTGAAAGCTTGAAGAAGAAAAATTGTCTTATTTCATTGTTAAAAAAAAAAAAATTGAAGCAGCTCTAGTGCCTTAGAAGCATGTTAGGAGCTGCAGATATTTCTACTTTTTGGCACATTCCCACATGATGATTGACCAGGTAAGATCTGGACTCTTCCAAGAAATTTTTTTATACACACTCATGAACAATTTTCTGAAACTGCAGTCACTGAAGTGAAAGTTGATAGCTTTAATTTAATCTGTTATCAGTTACTAGTTAAATATTAATTTTTTTTTAAATCGACATCAAAAACCCAAACCAAGAAAATCCAATGCAAATCAAGATATACAGTTGAGACTGTCCTACTTGTGTAAATGCTTTATTTGCTGTTTCTTTAGCTATTTTTTCCTAAGTTAAGAAACTGTATATTGAACAGAGTTACATTTCCACCAGACTAAAATTGTCCTTTTCATTGTCATTGCAATGCTCATGAACACATGCACAGGTACCATGGACATGTCCCAGTGGCAATGTGAATAAAAAAACACCAGCAGATAGAAAAACTATTAGATTTTTGTGGACACAGCATTTAAAGGCACTTAAATTTGATTGGTTTGCCTTGAGAAATCAATTATGCTTAAGTCTGTAATTATAATCTGAACATAGTACAAGGGAAATTACTTGCATAGTAATATGTTAAATATATAGTCTTACATTTACTTAGAACATTTTAATCTAATGAGGCATTTGCCTATGCAAACCCATAGAAATAATGAGTCAGAAAATAGGCAAATAACACTCTACAGGATTTCTGTTGCTGCTGTGTTTATGTGAATATTGGAGCTGCTAGCCAATGCTTTGTATCTTTTATTTAATGTAGTCAGATTTAGCAACTTCTTAATTTGTTTTTATAACCATAGTGGATGTTGATATTGATGGAAAGATTTGTATTTACTTTCCTAATTTTCTTTATTTAAAGGTGATATTTTGGTCATATTTAGCATATTTGGTTTCTGGTTTTTTAAGCTCTTTAATGAAATAATGTGTGTATAGTTAATAACATCAGAAATTCAAAATATGGCTAAGGAAAGCATTTTGTGTTGCTCAACTCTGAATGACTACATGTTACCACACATGGCTTTGGGTTGGTGTTACCTGTTACATATGTTATTCTTTCAAAATATGGAAGGTAAATTCTCCTGTGTCATTGCTGCAGCCCAGCTGTCCAAATCACATAAACTACCCTTATAACATGTGAGGAATTTTGATGGAATTCAAGACAGGACTTCTGAACTTTTTTAGATTATGTAATTTATTTTTCGTATCTTTTATATAGGTAGGAAGGGTAAGTTCATTTCACATCTTTACAGTATAGTTCAGAAGACTACAAGACTTCTACTTACTTTTAAGAACTTATTAATTAATAAAATGCCGTCAACAAAGATATTTATATTTTTGACCTAATCCTTAAATATTTCATTTTATGAAGTCATGTTGCATGTTTTCTTAGTTAATCATGTTATGATAAACAAACTTATAGTACTGTACTCTAAACTTCTTGTTTCCTTTTGTAACTACTATTTTTTCTGCATGTTAAACTCTAAAACTCTAAACTTTCTTCTTCTTAATGTGTTTTTACTTTAAACGATAAACCATTTCTATCACCTAAATTTAGAAATTTTTTCCAAAGTCTCAGGGCAAATCTTGTGTTTAATTCTAAGGCCCAAAGTGCTGGGGCTTCCTAACATTTCAGGTTCTAACAATGACATACAGGAACTTTATTTGTGGCAAGCACAGAAGATTTTCCTGTGTGCTGTGGAGGTCTTGCTGTGCTTTTCTCAGTAGAGGATTTATGGAAATCCTGTCCTTTTTCTGCTGGACTCAATGCTAGAACTTCAGCTGCTCCTGTAATTTCTAAATTCCCAAAGCAGCCTCCCCCTTGCTGCTGGAGGAGCTGCAATATTCCAGAAGCTCTGGCAGACTAAACTCTCAATGCCTGGGTGTTGTTTTATTTTCTCCTCCAGTCGTTTGCTTTGATGCCAAGATAAACTTCGATGACAACGCAGAATTTAGGCAAAAAGAAATATTTGCCATGGATGACAAGTCTGAAAATGAGCCCATAGAGAATGAAGCTGCCAAATATGATTTAAAATATATAGGACTGGATGGAAACATTGCTTGTTTTGGTAAGAACAAATACATCCAAAAGACATTTGAAAACAAATTTATGCTTGTTCAGTGTATAGACATTGTTTACATCTGACATTCAGGTCACCCTTCACAGAATTTCAGTCTGTTTTACTGAGTATTTCTGCAGTTTTGTCTGTTCTTCCACAAGTTCTTGCAGGAATGAAACTAAAATTGTGTGGAAACTGTGCTGATGGTCACAGCACACAAGCAGTGGTGTCAGAGAAGGCTAAGAGGTTTCAATTTCTGAGTTTTTAACCTCATGTAATTTGTCTTTCCAGTAATTAAAACAAAACAAGAAAAGTAATCAGAACATAATCATTAATTTTAAAAAATAAGTGTGTTATTTAAAAGGCACTTGAAAAGTATGTTTGTGTAAATGTGACATTCCTAGTTACAACTGAATATTAAGGAAAGCTGCTAAAGAATCTGCTCGGAAATGGCAGGGTTTTTATCTTCCTGAAGTTTCTGTAGAACAGAAATTACTCAGCTGTTTAAAAGAGATAAGTAGAAAAGTCAGCTGTGCTCTAAATAATTTTCATTTTGTACAAATTCCTTTAGCCAATACAACATTTTATTATTAATCTAATTGAATTAGGTTTTTTTTTTTTTGGCTTGGTGAGAAAATGTCCAGCATCTATATTGGCTGAGATGAGTGTTCCAAACACAAATCTAGAAGATTCTGATAATGTGTTGCAGTTGATTTAGTAAGTGACAGTGAGACTTCAATCTCAATTTAAAAAAAACAGCCAAAAGATCACAAAACCCAGATAATAATTGCCAACATTATGCTATTTTTTAGTGGTCTTTATTCTGGGTGACACAAGAGCATTTGTTCAATAGGAGCAACATAAAGAGGACACAATTCTCATCACTTTTCCCAGTTTAGATATTCCTATCTATGGAAATGCTTCTAGACTAGTGCAAATCTGAAATAAGATGTTTCAGGAACATCTGAGGTCTGTCCCCAAAACTGAGTTGCCTGTGGTGCAGTAACACAAAGCATCCACTGCTATCAGAGTGATGGGAGAGGAGCTTAAAGAGTCAATTTGTCCCTCACATCACTATTCCCAGAAGTCTTTACATCTCTTTATTTTTAATACAATCAGAAGGTTCTTCATTGCCACAATTACTGTTCCAGTGCTCATACATGCTTAAAGGAAGGTGCACATCTAAAAAAAAACCCTAAATGTTGGTGTGTTTGCAGCAGATTTTGAATTCTTTGTTGCACTGGATATCTTTGAATAGCCACTAATATTTAGAAATAGTTGTATAACATTTTGAGCCACGTTCTGGGGTTGTGCTGATACATTTGAAGTCTTTTTCACAAATCTTATCTATGTGAATTATAAGCACTTTGATGTTTGCAATTGCAGTCAATGGAGCTGGGCTTGCAATGGCAACATGTGATATAATATCCCTGAATGGTGGAAAGCCAGCCAACTTCTTGGATCTGGGTGGAGGTGTGAAAGAAGCACAAGTCTATCAAGCATTCAAACTGCTGACTGCTGATCCAAAGGTAAAAATGTTGGGTTTGGACTGGGAGCTTCCCTGTGCAGCAATAGGGCTGAGCGGGACCATGAACAGTGCACAGAAAAACCCAGATCATGGGGAGAACACTGAGGGGGAGCTCCTAAAGGGCTGATCTGGGAGGAAAATTAATTCAATATCAACCACTGGACAGACTTTTCAGCTCCTGATCCATGCTCAGGTTTGCTGGTGAGTTGTGAGTGGGAACTTTCTCCAGGCAGTTCGACACAGAAGTGCAGGTGTGCCAATGCAGTGCTGAACTCAGAGCATCTCACTCTAAAAAGGAATTTGTGAGACTTAGATGCTTAAAATATCATTCCTAATAGTGTAGTACCACAGTAGACTGAGGGAAAAATGGGAAAATTAAGCAAATAGCTAATTTGAAGGGGTGATTTGTACTCTTTTAAACTCAAGGTTTCTAAAATATCTGACTCTGTACTGCAGCATAAGGTGTATTTAATTAACATTCCCAGGCTGGAATCATAGCCTAGAACATTCTGACACTTCCTTTTGCAGATGGAGCTGCAGTTGCTCTTTTATTTTTTCAACAAGAGAAGACATTAGTCTGTGTGTACTGAGTAGAAGTTATTTCTGGAGATGTGTGTTGAGGTCACTGGTCCCCTCTGCAGGCAGAACTGGAGAATCTGCTGAGAGAATATTGATCAGGCGTGGGCTTTGGAGCAATGCCAGCTGCCCATCCTGCCAACATGGAGCTCTGCTTTTGTGTGCAGCCAGAGCTTCCTTGCTGTTGATATTTTTACTAATGGAAATCTGTCAGAGAGCTTTGATCATCTTTCCCATCTCCTGCACCTAAGCATCACAGTCCCTATTTCAATATTTCGCTTCTTTTTGTGGATCTGGCTTCATCCCCTTTATCTCATGTTTGCTGTGATTCCAGTCATTTTCCTCATGTTCATTGTGATGTGATACTGGCTCCTAAATGCCACCTTCCTGTGACAATTACAGTGCTCTAATTGTGTGCTCTGTGCAGCAGCAGCAAGTGACAAAATGCTGTGGCTTTTCAAATTGTTGTTGGCAGCAAAATTCCAAGGCAAAATTAGGAAGAAAATTTACAGTACAAAATAAGCACAGATCAACTTCATACCATAAGCTCTTTGCAGTTGCAACTTTCCCTGCATATTTTTTAAGTACCTGGTACCTTGATGCCTCTAGTGTTTGTTGTTTGAGTTGTTTGAGTTGCTCTGCAGTGTGTGATGGTCTGGGTGTGCCTGAGATGTAATTTAGTTTTGAAACTCGTGTTAGTGGTAGAGAAGCAGGTGCAGTAAGGTCTCAGATACACAACTTAACTGCTGATTATCACTGTGCTGAGGAGTTTGTACTGTCTGCTGCAGCACAAACAGCAGGTATTCATTTTGGTGATGAAGCTTACTGAGTTTAAACAATTTTAAAACAAAAAGGCATTCTAGTAGCTCTCAGCTATAGAACATCTGCGTGCCCAACATTTGACGTGTAGTTCTATCCTTCTATTCCACATTCTGCTTATATGTTACTGCTTATTTCCAACTGCATACAGCAGAAGCTCTGCTACTGAGAGAAAGCAAAAGGGAGCATGGAACATGAAAGGACCTGGATTAGGCATTTATGCTGGGGCTGTGCCAGTCCTGGCATTGACTGGCTGAAAATGCAGAAGGCAAAACATTTCATGCTTTATTTCATTCTGTTCAGAAAACATAGCAAATGTCTGTTATTTCCTCTCCTGATACACCATGTCCATTAGCTCACTAATATATAATCAGAAAATTGAATGAATTCTCTCTTTTCTTAACTAATGGTAAGGTTTCAGTCCCAAGAGTCTTTGTGGCTAATGCAGCACTCACAGGTTGTATCTGGTCAGTCATTTCCCTGTGGCCTTTAACTTGATTCCCACCTGGTTTGATAAGATAAAAATTTGTTCTTGGGAACTTGAGATTCAGTTAATTTTTGTAAATATCCAAATATCTGGAGACTAAAGAAATAAACAAAAAAAAATGTTTTCAGGGTTGTAATATGGAGAATTGCTGTTTTTTAGTTGTGCTGGCAGAGTTACGATATTGCAGAAGATTAAATCTTCCAGAAGGAAAGGTTCAACTGCACTCTGAAAAAGATCTCTTTCTCCCTCTTTAGTTGTCTTTAAAATGTCTATTTGTATTAAAAAAAAAAAAAAAAAAAAAAAAAAAAACCACAAAACCAAAAACAACCCCAAACAAACCAAAAAAACACACAACCCCTCCTCTCCCCATGACAAAGAAAATAAACAAATCAAGGTATGCCATGATTTGATTCAATGAAACTGAGGATATTGTTTTTAGGAAAAGTGAAGATCTGGGCTGGTTTGCTGATGGTTTAACCTGTCAGCTGTCAGTGTCTATAATTCTTGGAGGAAAAAAAAGAAGTGAGGGTTTTTGTTGCAAAAGGTGATCCACTGGCTTTTGGATGGAAATGCTGTCCCTGGAGCCAGCGACCCTTTTTACACTCTGCTGGTTTTGTTTGCTGTCTGCCATATCTAATACTTCCTGGGTTAGACAGATCATTGCAATGGCTCTGAATTCCTTTCTATTCACTGTCTAAATTCCAATTGTTTTTTTCTTTCTTTATTCTTTTCTTTCCCTTCTTCCTGCCTTCTTGTTTCTATAAGTTTGTGCTGTGCATCTGCTCTGGCAGGAAATGTACAGTCTTCCCTGTTTTTAGATATTAGCAGGAAAGGGAAAGGTGGCTCAGTTCTGGCAGTTCAAGCTGCTGGGAGACGCTGCAGGAGCTTCATTTATCCCCCTTTGTCCCACAGTGACACAGAAGTGGTTGTTGCCTTTGGTATTTCTGAGGTTCTGGGTGTGAATTCCTGCTTCAGGCACCCCCACACAGTCCTCATCCATGAGCACTCTCACATTCTTTCCAAGCTCCACAGGTGCTTGTTTTTGTTCATGCTGAAGACCTGCTTACCATATGATGACTGTTTGTAGGATTCAACAAAGTTTTTTGGAAAGGCTAAAGCTGAAAAAATACCTGCTCCTTCATGGATCTCCATGGGCTGCAGGGGAATTTTGGCCCTGGCACCTGGGGCAGTTCCTGCCCCTCCTGCTTCACTGACCCTGCTGTCTGCAAGGCTGCTCCTCTCCTGTTCTCACTCCTCTCTCCAGCTGCTGTTTTGCAGTTTTCTGTGCCCTTCTCAACTTGTTGTCCCAGAGGTGATGCCACTGTCCCTGAAGGGCTCAGGCTCCATCTCAGAGCTGGTGGCTCCATCAAGAACAGAGGAAGCTCCTGGCAGCTGCTCACAGAAGCCACCTTTTATCCCCTCCTACCAGAACCTGGCCTCACAAACTCATCCAAAAACCAACTTAGCTATAAGCAGGTTTGTTTTACCATCAGCACACTCTAGCCCTGATCTTAGCAGTGGACTTCTATTATAAAGTGTCACTGAAACACAGACAGTTAAAGGCTAACATGGTTTGTTGTTATTTTTCTCCTTTTGCCACTAAAGTTCCTTTGAAAATCTCTTTTGAAGCCTGTCATTGATGATACGACAAAAGACTCACCAAATCAATTGATGTTAACAACTGTTGGCTTGTTATTTAGGCAAAATACTATTGACAGAAATACAAACTTTTCTCATGAAAAAATATTCCATATTGACATCTGTTAGCTCATATCCAGGGAATAATTAATATCAAACCTACACAAGACTTTATTTTTTTTTTTCTTAAGCAATTATCTAGTCCAAATTCAGATTGTTGTCATAATTACATGGAATAGACAATCATTCCTGTCACCTTCCTGCCTGTTCATGTTCAGATGCATCTCTGTGCCCACCACATAACTGGCGCTGATGTGTTTCACTGTTGTGTGTCAAGCAAAGGTTTTGGGGCCTTTGTTTTCCAGGCATCTGAGAGAGTGACCAGAACTCTAAAAGAGGGTATCACTAAAGCATAACTTAGCAATTCACTTCTTTTCCAGCTGTGTTTGGTATGAAAATAATGCAGTTTAAACATCCTTATTATACAAGATATTTTTATCGCCAGCTTATCCTTTTGGCTTCAGGGATTTTTAGCATTAGCTTTCTTAAACATTTGCAGTCTGTTATGTGGCAATAGAAGGGATAACATTATACTAAAAGGAAAAATTTGGGATAATCTTTTCTTAGATTTCAGAAATAAAAATAAAGTTGCCATGTATAATGCATATGATCTTTATTTTGGGTAATTAATTTAAAATTGAGTGAGCTGGTTCAGTTCAGACCATTCAAAACATCTCAAATCATTCAGGCAGAATGGGGTGTAGTAACTATATTTGTGTGGTTCTGGACTGTTTGCTCTCACTCTGCAGCTTTGAACAATGACCTGCTCAAGGGGAAAAGCTTTAAAAATACAAGAATTCCAAATGCCACATTTTTGGGAATAGGAATAGGGAACTTCCTCATTATTAGAGCATGGGATGGCTGTGGACAGTCCACTGCATTTAAGTGATCGTCAGCAGGGGATTTCTCAGTGTTACAATACTGCAAACCCATAAATCAGTAGGAAGAGCTAACCTTGGCTATCACACATGCAGCCTGTGTCTGTGCATATAATTTTGGAGTAAAAAGGGAAATGTAAATAAGATTCAGTTGCAGACATAAAATAGAGTGTTAGCACTTAATTTGTTTAAATTGTCAGATTTGGTGTCATTTCAGATAATGCAGAGGAACCCTGTTCTTACAGACTCATTAGGAATCCTTTTCTTTCTCATGCACCCTTTACACACTTCATTAGCCAGTTCTTCTTTACACAGCCTGGAAATTCTTTACACATTATGTGTTTCTGTAATTCACACAAGAGGCTGAAGCATCATACTCTGGCTTGAGTATTGAGTGCACAATACCTGTGTGCTGCACTGCACTGCACTGCTGCACTGCTGCATTGCTGCACAGGTGCTGACTGCCAGTGTGCCAGAGCTCACCCCTAGGTCAGGGGTGGCCCATGTGGTGGAAAAGTCAGTCTCAAGGTAGTTTATTGCAAG